CACAGTGAATTTGAAATGACCCACATGCAGACTTTCAGCTTTAATTCAGTGGGTTGAATCCTTTCATTTCGGTGGACAAGTTAAATAACTCAAAACAAAACGTTAATTTCTAATACTTAGTTGAAAACCCTGTGCTGGTGATCACAGCCTGAAGTATTGAGCTCATGGTCATCATCAGATGCTGGTTTCCTCCTGGTTAATGCTCTGCCAGGCCTTTACCTGTTGGTTTGTGGGTCTTTCTGTCCAAAGCTTAATCTTCAACAACTGAAATACATGATCAGCTGGGTTAAGCTCAGGCGACTGACTGGTCCATTCAGGAGTGGGTTGCTTTAGCTATATGTTTGGGGTCATTGCCCATCTGTATTATGAAACGCCGCCCAATCGGTTTGACTGCGTTCAGCTGGGTTTGAGCAGACAGTACGTCTCTGAACACATCAGCATTGATTCGGCCCCTTCTGTCCTGTCCAGCCCAGTCTAGCCTCCCTTTTCTTGAGGATTATGACTGGCTTTCGCTTTGCAGTGAACCCTGAGTATTTACTTTCACACCCGCTTCTCTTTATGGTAGACTTGGTAGACCTCCTGGAGAGTATCGTTCACTTCGATGGCTGGACGTCCAGGTCTTTTGGCATTGCTGAGTTCAGCAGTGCTTTCTTCCTTTCACAGGATGTACCAAACTGTAGATTTTAACACTCCTGTAACAATTTCATCCAGTTTGAATGTGGATACCCTCAAATAAAAGCTGAGAGTCTACACTTCCTGTCCATATTTCAGCGCCCAAGTTTAAATGAACCTAACTGTGTAATTAGTGCTTGAATGAGTGAAGTTCCCCATCATCTAATCTGCTGTGTACCTGCTAAACTGTCCAAGTCCTCCAGGATTCTGCCAAACCTGAAACGAGACAGAAAACAGTTAGAAGGTCAAAACTGAAGCGCAGACGTACTGGACCACATTTACTCAGAGAGCAGGCTGCATTCATTTTCTGATGACTGCGCACAAACACAGGGTTCAATTTCTAGCATTTAAACAGGCGAGTCATAAAAGCAGTCAGTACAGTAGCTATGAAGTTTTTGCAGCATGCTGTAAACAAGTTTGTTTCCACTGTAAACAGACACTTTAACACAGGGGTCTTTTTGGAGCCTGCCTCCAGTGGCCATTAGGGGAAGTGCAGCTTTTGGCTCTGGAGGTTCTTGCTTATCCAATACAAAGAATGTAACTGAACCCGTCACCATTCACATGGAAGAGACATGGATTTATCAGACTGTCATGTAGCTCTTAGATTTTCCTTTCATGGTAAACGTACTGTTGGTGCCCGTTCACTCACTTTACTGTCTCCGCTTTCTGCGTGTTTACCTGACGGTGTTGTGGTGGGTCAGATACTTCTCCCTGAGCTGTGGCTCAGAGCCCAGGGGCAGGTGCACCTCCAGGTAGCTGTCCTTCATCCTCTTGGCAGGAAGTTCGTTCTGAGATTTGGCCAACATGGATGACAGTGAGACACGCTCCGCCATGGCCTGCTGATGGTCGCTGCAGACGAGAACGAGACCGCATCACTAAATATAACATGTTAAAAATAGACTCCCTGGATTTGTTCATGTAAATATATTTCATTGGTATTATTATTATTGATTATACGATAGTTTTGTCCCACTTTCTCACCACTTTTTTCTTTAGATTTATCTTTTAAAATATTTATTAAGCAAAAAAGCAATAAAAAAGTCCTGTAATTACAGTAAACAGCAAAAATGTGTCATCTAACTGCTGATAAATGAGCTCAGTCAGCTTTATTTTTAAGACTTCAGTTAGAAATACTGAAGGTGAGGGTTGGATTTAGGTGTGTAGGGGTTTGGAAGCTAAAAGCTTTAACAATTGTGTACTGAAAAGTGAACAGCAGTAATCTAACAGACAGGAAATGAACACATTATTTACTTTTTTTCTCAAAATTCCTCCAGATAAAAATGACCGGCTTTTTTTCTTACCAGAAAAAAAGACGATTCTACAGCAGATTTAATAGACTGATAAAATTACAGGAGTAACATGAGACGAGAGAGGAACGATATGTGAGTCATATATATGTGTGTCATCTGCAATACAATAACATCTGATGCTGAGGATTTTTTAAATAATTATTCAAGTGAGTGTTGGCACGTAAATATAAAATATCTGGGGTCCGAGAGCAGAACCCTGTGGAACCTCTAACAGTACTAAAGCTGTCTGACAAAACTGAACGACCGCAGGTAACAACAGGACAAACCGAAATCTCAAGTATCCAGCCAGACAGCTTTTCACAAAGCAAATGAACAAACTGAAAAGTAACTCTGTGAAAGCAAAATGACCAAAAATGTCTTATTTGATAATCTTGCCAAAACGTAACGATCAAAGCAAAATTTATTACTGCATTCAAAGGCTGCAGACTGAATGGTGGCTTTTAACATTTGCTGAGAAATGATTAAGGATGCTGTGATTTTTAAGGAGAGGCCAGCTGCCGATTCTTTTACAGGCAGAGAGTCACAAACAGATTTGTTTCACCAGAAATGGATTCATACTAAGATTTAAAGTAAATCTATTATATTTTCTTACTTTCTATCATATATACACTGTTACAACAGCTGATGTTTATATTAACCACAACGTTTGTAAAATGAGGTCAGTCTGTGTGTAAAAACACATGTTTCTGACAGTTTTTTCCACTGTTGGGTCTGTATGATGTCACAGAGAGAGGATGAGAATAATATACTCATCTAATGCACAGAAGCCTTAGGTGGCTTAAAGGGGGAGGAGCTAAAACAGCTCATTTCAGACAGCATGAGGTAAATAAAGATGATTTTGAACTGTGAGTCATGCCAGTTACCTCCAGTTTGTGGAAGCTCCCACGATTTCCCTCAGCCTGTTTCGCACTGAAAACAGAAGACGAACCAGATGTATGAAAGATCTGAACACTGGAGTTTGGAGGCTGCCATTAAATATAGCACATTTTTTACAATGTGATCTAAGACTTGCAGCTCAGCAACGTCTGAACAGCAAGAAAACATAAAACTGAAGCTGAGTGCCACAGAGGGAAGAAGACGAGAGAGTTCCTGCTACAGGAAGGTTTGTTTCTGCCAGAGGAGACGTCTTTGAACATAAAATGCAGCTCTATGAAAAGGCTGAACAGCAGAAGCTGAAACTTCAGTTAGGAGACAGTCGGGGGGAAACATGCAGGGAGGAGTTAAAATGTAATTAGAGTAAATTAGAAGATAATTAATAAGCTCGTCAGTTCAGATAGTTGTGATTCATCTTGGTTTACCAACACGCACCATTTGACACATGAAACTGTGGATTTCCTGTGGAGAAACACAAAGGATTAAACACACGGGGCTCAGAGGACGACGGACTCATGAGGAGACCAGAATAAACTCAAATGTACAAAGTGAAAACACTTCTGTCCTGAACACAGCAGAGACTTTGTTCCACTAAGGATACAGCAGGTCCTATTTAGGGCCTTGCTTTGTTTATTATTATCTTTTACACAAGTAAATCACACTTAACATGATGGAAACCAGTGAAAATATTCATGGCGTCGCAGCACTCTCTCTCATCACACAAATCCAACATCCCAGGATGCACAACAAAGCTTCTCTGAGAAAACCTTAAAGAAACTCAAGCTTTTTATCTTTAAAGGTAAATTTCCATTTTCCAGGCTTCAGGCAGATTTTCATTTTTACATAATTGTGTGAAGCTTTGTGGTTACAAACAGCTTTTACTTTCCTCTGCGCACTTACTCCTAAATGTTACTCTATTGATTTAGAATAAAAATAGAACAGAAACAAACTTGAAACAAACTCTGAATACTTGGGCCTAACACATGTTGTCGTTCTCTGTTCACAATTTATGTAATTTTAAGCTCAACTAGGTCATTAAATTTAAGTGTATTGAGCGATAAAAAAAATTAATTTTGGTGACTTCAACGTAAAGACCTCCCAAATGCAGAATTGTGAAACTTTTGAGTTTGCATTGAAGGTTTGTTGTGTCATCGTAAATGTTGACGTTTCACCACAACACAAGAGTTTACTATACCTCAGATGTATAAATATCTAATCTGCCACAATCGTCAGCTGATTGCTAAGAGTCTGGAGACCTCTAAAATGGCATAACGCCACCTGGTGGCAACAGGAACTCATCATAGATGTGATAATCATCATATTACATGACATTTGCATTGTGTTGTTACTAGCTTCACGTATGTAAACTGTTCCATCATAGCTCTGATTTGACATGTGTTTGCTCACTCTTTACCCCTCTGTGTTCTTGCTGTTAAATCAGGCGATGTGAAACAGGAAGTGCATTTGCTTTCTCACCCTCGATCATGTCAGGTGCCTTTCCCTGCTTGCCCTGCTTCAACGCTCCTCCCGTGCAGAACGACCTCCTCGTGAAGGACGCGGCCGATCGCAGCAGCAGAAACCTGAAGCAAGCAGAAAAACTCCTGTAATTACCAAGTCCTGTTCCAGGCACGCACACCGACCGCCTCTATTTCAGGCCGGGCGTGTGAGCGGTTTAGATCCCGAACAGCTGATCAGACGGACTGTTACCGCCCCCCCATGAGAGGAGCGTGACTCTCTGCAGCTTAGTCACATTTATAGCTCGTTACTGCATGTCCACTTTCTGAACATCTTTTTTTAAAATGTAATCTCCATGAGATTAAAATACAATTTTAAAAATAAGAGTACATTCAATGATCTTAATTATTGTTAGACTGGGTCACAGGACAGTTATCATGAACAGTAAAGTCAGTGAGTCTGTGTTACCTGGATTAGCAGCAATCTGTCCTTTATTTTTAACAATGCATCAATGACTGGAATAACAAAAGGTTCACAACTCTTCTGACAAAGGAATTTAAAAAGAACTTGATAACAATACTGATTATTTCTTTGACTCTGACCAAACCTAAAGTTCCTCTGTGTAGAAGAAACCCCGAATCTCTGTTTGGTTTCATCTGTGCCCCTCAGCTGTCGAAGGACCTGCCTGAGGGCCTTCAGCTTTCTTCATCAGTATCTTTTAAAACATTCCTGAAGTCTTACTAATATTGTTGGTCTTTCTCAGTCGTCTTCTTACAGATTTTACATCTTTAACTAATTTTCCACTGCATTTATAACAAGGAAGTCTCACTGTTTTTTACTCTTCGTGTTACACTCAAGTCGTGTAACAGACAGCAACCATAGAGCTGAAGAAGAAGGCAGGATGAAGGTGAAGATGAGAGTCACAAAAGGGAAGTTTTGTAAAATGGTAGTGAGGCCTGTTATGATCTGTGGTTCTGAGACAGTGCTGCTGACAAAAACGATGGAAAGAGGAGTTGAAGATGCTCAGATTCTCACTGGGAGTGAGCCGGATGAATGGGATTAGGTATGATTAGTAATTAGAGACACAGCTCAGGATGAGTGTTTGGACATGTGAAGATGGGGAGAAAGGATGGAAAAGAGGAAGTTAGAGGAAGTTCATGGATGTGGTGAAGGAGGACATGCAAAGAGTGACAGAGGAGGATGAAAAGAAGAACTAGCGTCTTTTTAGAATCAAACATTTTAACTGATAATGTTTCGGCCATTTTTGTTTTTATTATTATTATGTGTGTATTGTACATGTGAAACTCTTCGTAGTGGTCATTTTGACCTCATTACTTATTTATAAAGCGCATGTAGGAGTGTAAACTGCGTAGAGGTTTCTGAACTAGCCTGTGTAGCTGTCATAAGTTAACTTCGGTGTTTATCCTGTGTGAGGCCTCCTGATTTGCTCTGTCTTTATTTCCTGCAGACACGCCCTTCGTGGAAACAGACCGCCGCCCTCTGTGGGCCTGGTTAACTAGTCACTCTTCATTTACACACCACTGAAGTCATAACAGAGAAAAGACCATCACAAATCGCTGTTTATCGCTGCTTCGCTTCCCGCGCTACTCTTAGGTCACTTGTTAACAGCGCGGACGCCGCAGAGACAGCTGTGCACGAGCTTTGTTTTAAGTCACTAACCTCTGTGAGAGCATTTTGACCGGGATGACAGAGCCGAGGCCTCGAGGGTCCAAACGAAGCGTGTGGGCTGAAAAAAGGGAGAGAAAAGAAGAAGAATCACAGTTTTCTCTTGAGGAGAGAAAGACAGGCTGATGACGGTGTAGCTTCCGCGGTGGCACGCAGCTCCGCCCACTGCGTGATGACGCAGCGCTCAGCATCTGTGGGCCTTGATGCCCTCAGTCCAGCCTGTCAGGAACTTTATTTGACAGGCTAACCTTACAAAGTTAGACACAGACAGACACAGTGGTGCTCACTGAGAGATTTTCCAAGTAAAAGTGTTATCGCTCACTAAACAGCCGCTTAAAAAACTTTTACATTTCTGTTTTTGATATTTCCGTTTAGCCTAAATCTGCCACTCTAATATAATTTGTCCTTCTTATTTTTTTCTCTCGAAATGTTACTCTCTCTGCCAGAACCTTGAACCTTGTATTTATTGAATTACCCATGTTTTTGTCGAACGCGGGTCAGTGAAACAGTAACAAACCTAACTGTATGCATGAGTAAAATATCAAAACACTCTTTGTGTACTTTTTTTATGAATCTATAAATAATTTCATTTATTTATTAGATGAGTGGATACATGTCGACATGTTGTAATATGGTGTTTACCATATCATAGCGTACAAAGCACAAGGGGAAACAAGGGAAAGTGATTCTCCTTTAACCCTCCTGATATGTTTCAGGTCGGAGTGATCCATTTCAAAATTGAATATTATATTTAAAATTATTTTAAAGTGTTTTTTCAACATGGAACTTATTCTGCTTGGTTTAATAGATGTAATCAACATATACAATGAAAGTAGCTAATTTCACATATTTACACGTATATTTTGTGTCACAATGTCTCTGGAGACTCCATATTTTTTCCAGAGTCGTCCGATTTGATAATCAAGAGACAAGCACTGTTAGATGGGAGGGAGGGAGACAAGCTGGCAACTACCATTATTCAACATTGTACTTAAAGAAGTCATATATCCTCATCGAACCATGATCTGTGAGCAGTAAAGAACACAACTACATCAAATAATGACTGAAATAGTTAGTAATGGAGTTAATAATGAGATATGAACAATGTTTATTCTGTGGGTTTTTTGTTGTTTTGGATAACTAAACATGCCCAAGCTGACCCACGAACGTCATTCCTTCACCTTGGAGACAAACACAACAAAAGGGTTAAAAGTGTCTGGTTTTCACTACAAGATACTCCTGAGGCACACCTTCCCCTTAGTTGTTGGTTTTTTTTAAGCTGAACACTTTTCTGGACAGGCAAACGTTCTGGTCCGTCTTCTACAAGTGAATGAACAACAACGGTAAGATATATGAGAAGAAAATAACGTATAAGAAGCGTCATAAATAAAGCAACTAAAACAACCACGTTATACACTGTTAGGGACATTAAATGTCTTGTATTGCATCAATTTCAGTCTAAGTTACAGTTGCAGGTGTGGGGGTGGGGGTGGCCTTTGACCTGTGCTCAGAGGATCATTGTTCCCCCCAGTACATCAATGCTACGACTGTCTGCGAAGCATCTAACCACACCTAATCATTACACACACTACTCTGCACATGAATATGTAGGGTCTGCTGGTGTTGGAAAATTCCACTTGTGTGGGCAGACAGAGGCATTATGGGAGAGACCTGAACTGAAGTCTGTACTGGAGCATTGTGAGTTGAAATTAAACCCCCTGGAGGAAAAAAGAAATGTGAAAAACTGGTGATTCCATACATGTGGTTCTTTTTTTCCTCAAAGACCTTTAAAATTTATTAGACAAACCTTCACAACAACTGCCCAAATAGATCCCTGCTGAGTGGCTTCACTTCCTTGGAGAACAGGAATGCCTTCCTGTCAGTGTAAAGACACTCAACTAAATATTTAATCCTTGACATATCTTAAAAGAAAAGGAAGGACAATTTCAACAATATGTCTCAGTTTTCTACATCATAAATGTGTAGAATCACAGAAAAGTAGCTTATTGTCAGTCAGCCCCAGGGCAGCTGTGGCTACAACTGTAGCTGCCTCCACCAGTGTGTGAATGCGAGAGTGAATGAATAGTGGCATTGTAAAGCGCTTTGGGTGCCTTGAAAAGCGCTATATAAATCCAATCCATTATTCATTATTATTATTATTATTATTGCCCAGAGTGTCCTGTATTTATGATAATGTTCTTCATTTTTGTATAGTAGAACATTTCTGTTTTAAATACTGTAAAAACAATATTTCTTCATTTAATTGTTTATCTGTTACGTAACTATTTTGGTGCCAAACTGATCTGTTTTAGAAGAACTTATCATCCCAAGAAAGTTTCTAGTCCTCATAACACCTGGAAATCTATGTGCTTCTTATCTTATCTCTGGGGCAAAACTGATGTTGTTTACTGAACTTCAGATACAGTTACAGTTAAGTTACTGTTTTGATTAAGTAACTTAAATTATAGGCTATTGTTTTTGTTTAATGTGTTAGATATTTAGCACATTGTTTGACTCTTATACATTAGTTAAACATTAGTTCAACATTGTTTAACTAAAGAATAAAAACACTTTCCCAGGTCCTTTTCTCCATCAAAAACATATGACAGAATAAAAACAGACCCCCACATGTGACCGTTCTTTGTACCCCGATTGGACAAAAAAAGTGACCAGGGGGTGTCGCTGATTTGTCAGAAATCCGATACTTGAGTGAACCGACCAATTATATTGCAGCGCGAGCCGGCTATAAAAGCCCTGACATAAACAAAGGGGGCACAGTAGAGCGGCAGCGACCCAGCCGAGGGCCAGTCATACTGAATGTTTTATCTCGACGAGCGCGTTCGGACCAGAGGCTGACTGTGGGGGAAAAGCCACTGCGAGGCGAATGAAGAAACACCTAATCTTCCAATTTACATACAGAGGACTTCTGACGAAAGGGAAAAAAAGTAAAAGAAGAAAATGGAGTATAAATTACGAAAAGCTGAACCCCGAGACGTGCCTGATATATTACGACTGGTGAAGGTAGGCCTGTGGGATTAAAAAAAACAAATACCGTTTTGGGGATAAACGTAATTAATTTGATATGAAACGAGCAGGAATTCAATATAGCGGTCGAAAGCTAAAGGGAACTGTTACGTGTTACAATATCCGTTAGCTGTGGAAATCCGTTAACTAGCGAAACATCGGCAGGTGTGAGCTTTCCTGAGGATGTCCGAGAATGAGGTCAGAGCCGGAGGCCTCTTTACCGTCAGATGACTCAGAGCGGCCGGGTGTCTAAATATGGTCCGTCTGACGCGGTGTCCGTATCATGGCTGACCCCGACGCGGAAACGTTACAGTGGAGGAAAACAAAACAAGCGACATCTGCGAAACCCCGAAGAGGGTGCCGGTTTGATCTGGAAACTGGTGGCGCCTATATTTAGCATCAGGGCGTTTAGAGGCCTCTTAGTTAAAGTTAACGTCATTTTCAGTTTACACAATATACCGACTTTAAAGGACCTTATCGACTTTACTTGTAAACTTGGCTTTAAAAAATAAATAAAATTGGCTCCTTCTAGTTAATTCCACTTAACTTTTTGGCTTGTAAAGTGTAAAGCCATTTTAAATTGTTCCCATACAACTGTAAAAAGGAAGTGTTTTTTTTTTCAACCTCCCTCCTTTCTGGTCCTTTTAATGACCCTAACGTCAATTCATTTCTTGTGAATTTGCTCAATCATTCACATTGAATAAAACTGAAGTGATGGAAAAGATCTAAACCTCGACGCTCACATCTTAATCACCACAATGATACTGACCAATTATTACAATGATTCTTTTGTGTTCTTAATCAATAAATGACTTGTCGCACAATAAAATGTTTGTTAGAATACTGGATGAGCTGCAGAGCTGCAATACACTTTGCTTGTTTACGAAATTGAGCTCAAAACAAACCGGATTCTGGACTAAATAAAAATGAAACGGCATCAGGAGTGCTGTGTCGCACTACGAATGACATCACCCCATTGTTGTTCCAGGAACTTGCAAAATACGAGGAGATGGAGCACCAGGTGACACTGACTGAGAAAGGTGAGTTTAAAGTCACCTGCACACGAATAAAAGACTACCTGCTCTGTTGTGTAAATAATTAAAGGTTGTGTTTGCCTGTAGAGCTCCTTGAGGATGGCTTCGGTGACACCCCGTTTTACCATTGCATCATCACTGAGATCCAAGGAGAGAAGAGCAGTGAAGGTACGAAACGCCACGGATCCTCTTTCTGGAGCAAAAACACTTGGAGGATCGTTTTCAGCCTGAGGCTTGAATAGTTTCCCACAGGAACCGTCAGGTTATCATGTCACCTGATAAGGAGAGTAAATGTTTCCCACCATCTGCTGAGACAGCGTTTCCACAGGGTGTGCATCCTGGTTTTGTAAATACAGGCCAAGAGTCAGACGCTCGCCTGCAGGTGTTAGTCCCCCTGAACACGTTTATTTAATTGTTCTTCACAACGTAGCTTCCATTGAGATGTACAGAGAAGTACAGCTTGTGCCTGACCTACAGGGGAGGCACCATCTGGACACATTCCCAGTGACTGCAGCGCAGACGCTCGTAAACAGTCTGATTAGGCCGAGAAAGTTCTGGCAGATTTCCCCCAAGAAGGAGGTTGAAGGTTAAGGTAGAAGTTTTCCTGCATGGAGCCATTTCTGGTGTTGCAGTTATTTATTTTTGCCCAACTGTCTCTTTGTTCACATCTTAAACAAGAATTTGCCTCCACAGCTTGTAAGCCTGGTGTTATTCCCAAAACATTAAACCTCAGCCCTGCTTTTATTTGCTCTGCATAGTCTCAGCATATATTTTATCCACATAATCTCAAGAATGAGATGTCTGGTTTCTAACAGCCTAACATGGTCGTTTCTCCCTGCAGATCGCAAGGTGGTGGGTTTCGCCATGTACTACTTCACGTACGACCCCTGGGTGGGCAAGCAGCTCTACTTGGAGGAGTTCTATGTGATGGATGAGTACAGAGGTAAAAACATCTCCATCTGTTTACATTCACTCCTGCTCTGCAGCTTCATTGATGCCTGAATTGTTCCTCTTTCTGCAGGTCTGGGCATCGGTTCAGGGATCCTGCGGCACCTCAGTAATGTGAGTGTTTACAAACTAAAGTGCATCCTGACTTTGGCTGTTCTTTTGAGCGCACCAACCTAAACTCCTCTCCGTCCTCTTCCAG